CTGGGATGCATACAGGCTGGGATGCATACAGGCTGGGATGCATACAGGCTGGGATGCATACAGACTGGGATGCATACAGGCTGGCGGATCCAAATTCGCCAATGGACCAAGAGCGACGGGGGTAAAGGTAAGTTAGACCTGTGGTTCTTTTTTTGCCCTTAAAGGGGATCTCCAGGTTTTGGTTGTATTTGCAGTTGAGCTGTTTCGCGTAACTCAGGGAATAAAGTCCTTCATTCATTAAATAGGCATTAATTTATCCACACCCAAAAAAAGAGTGAGCTTTGCATAACTTGCGGGCAAAATGTTAAATTATGCATTTATTGGCGTGCCTTCATTATGAAAACGCGCGAGTCTGTCAGCAAAAATGCCACGAATGCGCCCACTGCAGCGAAAGTCCTGCCACCGTTTTGCATGTACGCCAAAAACAGTCGCAAAAAAAAAGGATGTTTTTTTGAGGGGCGTGCAAACATCGAATTCCAGGGGTCACCGGGGACAGCGTCAAAGAAGACTCGAATTTAATTTCTCTGCGCATTCGGCAGGAAAAATTCTCGCTCGGATGGGCCGAAAAGTTCTCGGATGGGATCGCGTTAAGCATTCTTCGTTTCCGCTAAAAGTGCCAGCCGCCGATAAATTCGACGCTGGCTTAAAGGGTTAAACGTTCTCGCTGTGTGGCCACATTCAGCGGACGTGACTTCCTACGATTTTGGAAAATGTTTCCAGGAAGGAAGGAGATGACGAAGGGACGAAGATCTGCAAACGATGAGGTGAAGTGAAAAGTTGCTGCAGCAGAATTTTCGGAGATACCTTTGAAAAATGCATTTCTAGACGCATTCTGAGAAGTTGTTCTTGCATCAGTTAGCTACGCGGGAACTCCAATTCGAAGGGATGCATAACAACATTATCATGTAACTGCATAACAACATAATCATGTAATTGCATAACAACATTATAATTTAGGCATGTCACTTGGCACCGTTTTCCTGCGACCAAACCCATCTCTAAAGGCGATGAGATCCCAGAGTGCAATCAGTTTTGACCAAGAATTCCAGCGAACTGTTCGCCTGCACAATCCAATAAGCAAATGCAGCCCTAGTACTTGGTGAAAAAAGCCAAAAGCAGCGCACAACGTGATGAGAAAAATGCCTAAAACGTAAATGAAAACTTTTCAACCAAAGCTGCAGCTGCGTGCGTGGCGCTGAAGGGGTTAAAAGTCATTTATTGTAAGCCGCGTATTTCCGTCGTTCTGCGACCCCGGAATAATTCGATCTGCCCCATTCGACCGCACGTGGGCGGGGCGGGGCGGGGTCGAGAATCGCGTGGAGGGCCTTGACAGAGACTAAAACGGGCGAAGTCCCTGCCAGCAAGCGACGATAAAAGACGATGCAGGGGATCTGAGGAAACATCCTATGCGGATGGGAGAATCCATGAAACCGTCCTTCGCTCGTATGTTTTACGGTCGTGTGAAGGGTGGATTCTGGCGGAATTGCTTGCTCCACTCGGGAGATTTCCATTCTCGACGACAACGATAATTGTAGGGAGTTCCATCGTTGATGACGTCATATTACGTTTCGTCTACCTGCTATTGGCCTCGTATCGTTCGTTACGAAGAGCATGCACCGGCAGTTCGCCGTTTCTCATCCTTTCCTAAGGTTTACGTCTCCCTTTGCTCTCTGAGTTTCGTCCGACGGTAATTCCTTTCGGTCGAATGCGCTACTTGCGTGTTCAGAGCAAATGAGGCCATCCCGCGGCCCAAGGCCATTGCTCGAGTTAAAACTTACGACGACACGTGCAGACGACGTGAAGTCATCAAGTCGATTGCGCAGAAAGCGGCAAATAAAAAATGGCAGCCGGAAAAACACATTCATATCAACGATCTCGGGGAGCCCCTTCAGGGAGTTGTAAAATAGGTGTAGAATAATTGCCCTCTTTCTAAAGGCGCCCTCACACGCCATGACTTGGCAAACATATGTGATTGCTCCCATATGAGCTATGAGCTAGTGTAATCAGGGTCTACGAGCGAATCATGGATCCACATTTGAGTTCACCAGCTCACAAGGTCTCGAAACGTCCTTGACCTCTTGTAGTCGCTCGCCGCCTTGCCTCTGCCGCATCATCGACTTCGCTGATTATCCTCTGATCTTAATAAAGTCTCAATTAGTAATTAAAAAAATGACTCCAGCAGTCACAATTTAACCCCCGGAAAATTTCATCCCAATCTTGACAGGGCGACTGCTGGAGAGGAACTAAGCGTGCAGCAGACGCTGCCCTGAAGACTCGCGAGGTCTTTTCGTAGTGTCTAATCACTTGCTCATAGCAAATTCACTCATATGGAAGCTCATAGCAAATTCTCTCATATGGGAGCAGTTAAATACGAACAAAACTAGAGCGTTTGATGGCGCCTTCACTCAGCACCAAGGTCTGTACGCGATATTTTCAGACACTTTTTCCACGTTATAAAGGTGCAAAAGAGGAAAGGCATTTGTATTCTATCTCGTATTTAATTTCGAATTTATCAGTTTTTTTTGCGATAAGGGAAAAATACGAGGGCACTCTTCGCCTGTCATTGAACCATCACATGCCGCTATCCTTATCAAACGTAATTTAAAGCATGGAGAATCCGAAGACCATGCGAGTCTGGTTCTCGTTTTCCGCTGCCGTCGATCGTATTGCCAAGCAGGATTGGAACGTGTCTTCAACTGCTTAACCCTCGACTTACCTCTGAGCAATTCGAATGGTAATTCCTCGACTTACCTCAGAGCAATTCGAATGGTAATTCCTCGACTTACCTCTGAGCAATTCGAATGGTAATTCCTCTGCCTCTCATGCATGAACACTCATGTTTTTCCCTCAGTGCCTCGAAATTTATGACCATATCGAAAAACCAGTTTGGACCTTAGATAAGTGTTTCTCCAGTTTTTGGATTCTCCAACGGGATCCTGAGCTGCCGGCTTAAGATGCTGACGCTACAATTGGAGCATGGAAACATATAGAATTTTCGCTGCATTAACTATTATGCAAATGGCATTAACATCTGGAAGACACGGGGCCAGCTTCCGAGAATTCGCGTCTCGGCTGACGATGCATTCTCCAAGAGAATTGAAATTTGAAGAAGTACTAAAAAAAAAAAAAAAAAAAAAGAGGAGATGAATAAACCTGAAGACAGGCAAGGTTCCAGCCCTCGCATTGTGCAAGACCGACCGAGAGTCCCGGCAAAGTAACGATCTTGTCGACACCCTGGGGCCCCAATCCTAAATCTGTGACATGTCAGGGACCAGGCTGGACATCACTAACCGTTCCCTAATCATTCGCACTAATCGCCAGAAGCTTTTCCATTCGTCTCCTCCGTTTTATTTTCTCCAGCCATCTCCGCTCATTTTTATGCATCGAGCGTTTCATTAGAGACAAGGGGGATTCGTCTCGCTCTCGGACTCGATGAAGTCGAAGCTGGCCAACAAAAAAAAAATCAAATTGATGTCACATTTAGCGACCGCAGTCATTCGCCTTGGAGTCTTCAGGCGGCCAAATTATTGCTCCAGAGGTTATGGTTCTTCTGCAACTCTGGGAAAGTCTCAATCCAAATTGTTGGAGTACTTTGATCTTACCACATATATTTAAAAAATGTATTATTCATTTCGTCCATAAGTATGAACAAAGGAAAGTGCTAGGCGAAAGAAATACCTGACTAAAATCCCGAAAATGCCTCCATTAATTTTTTTACCAGGAGCACAAAAAAATTAAATTCCGAATTTAATCTCGTTTCCAAGCGGAACAAATATTGAAACTCGTTGCGGGGAGAATCAACACCGTGTTTCGAAAAAATGTGTTATTGTAAAGGCAAACAACACAAGAACCATGAAAGTCAAGGTCATTTTTTTGAACATTCGCATAAATCACACAATTGTTACTAATGTTGGGAGCAATACCTTACCACCAATGCCTTATTATTGAATATATATTAAATGCAACAGGAACTCAAGGTGACAATAAACTCCTGCAAAAAGCCCACGACTTCGAAGTACCGGCCGCCAGCAGTTTTCACTGCCAATCGGCAAATTTCGGCAATCTTATAAAAATTTTGGAAAATAGCTGCGAAACAGATTCAATACATCCTTCCATCGGTGAGCAATTGACGGACACGAAAAGTCAAGAATGGAATAATTGACACGAGACAACCCCTGGAGGCGTCACATCTCGTGCGTGAAATTTTCCGTCGAGATGGGCAAGTCGGGCTGCGGTCGAACGGCGAGCCTCTTTCCTGCTTGCCATCACGATTTGTATGCGCGAAATAATTTGATGCGAAAAGAAAACGAGTGAATGGGAAGAAATTAGCCATACGAAGCCGTTAGAAATTGGTAAGTCCTCACATTAAGCACCGGGACCACGTAATATATAATAATATATTGGTACTACTTAGTATACTAATTACCTATTCCGGAACGCTTTCCTTATGGTATTCCGGTGGCCTGATTGAACATAGGGCTTTTTTTTCGCACGAGGAAAAAGCGAATGCGAAGACAAAACGCGTGGCGCTGGCTTCTACAGGAGGGACCGCCCACTCCATGTGGAAGAGAATGCACCGATCCTTCTTCCACTATTAATCAAGAAAAAATTAGGATTTTTAGGTGAAACCGGAAAACGGGCAAAACGCGAGCCTCCTCTCTCCTAATGCATCAAAATCGACTCTCTCCAAATGCATCCAAAATCCAAGGGGCAGACATCCACTCGTAAGCGAAGGCTTGTCACCGCCATATGGTGCGAACCCTCTCATGCATGAAATTTCCGTGACCCGCGGACGCCGCTTTCGTCGTTTCGGGGGGCTAATAGGGCAGCTTTTAAAACTCCTGCCGAATTTTAATTTTGACCGGTTAGCATGAGCTCTTCGCAAACAAGGCCTCCATGGATTCCTGGGAGCTTTCAGCTAAAAAAAAAAAAAAAAAAAAAAAAACATTATGAAAAAACTGCAATTTGTTCTCGAGTGAGAACGGGATGCATGAGAGGATTAAATATAAGTACCTCGTACCATAGAACGAGTTTCAAGTCCCAAATGAACTCCACGTAAAATAATAAATAGCGAAAATAATTGCGTCCGAGATAATGGCACCAAGCGACAATTGTCAATTCCCCAACTCTGTCCCAAATTCCGAGACCTAGGAATCTCTCGTCCGCCGGTACTTGTCAATCGAATACCCGAATAACTCGAAATCCTTCCTGTAGATTTCGATGAGGCCTTGAAGGACGTCTCCGGGGAGACTCGAGAAGACCTCCGCCACATCCTCTTCCCTGGTCTCCTTGGAGAGCCTCCCTTTGTTCTCCCAGCGGGGACGAACCAGGTCCGAGGCCCCGATCTTCTCGAACAGATACCTTTGCTCTCGTTCCAAATTCTCTATTTTCAGGATCATGTTCACATGGACCTAGTGCACGAATAAGAAAACCGAGGAATAGGTTGACGAAAGGTATTCCCAAACAACAAATTATTAAATAGTTACTAATAAACAATAAACAATAATAATAGTTACTAATAAACAAATAGTCACTCCACACAGGATCACGTCGAGTCTCAATGGCGTACGTGTGAACTCCCCAGAACCACTCAAATTTCGAAATTGTTCTGGATTTGAAACTCTCGAGGACAAGCCAACGCATTTTTGATTTGTCGATTCTTTCTCTGCCGTCATTTGCTTCATTCAATTTCTGATAGCCGGTAAAATCGAAGCATTCAGAGCCGCTTGAAGAGCAGGCAAGAAGACCGTTTCGACAATCGACAGCGGCTGGCAGCGGAAAAATTGACAAGATTTTAAGGTTCCATTCCAAATAGACCCGAAATTGAGAGAAAAAAGTTTTTTTTTTGCGGACTTAAGAAATGGAGCCGAAAAAGTAGGAACTGCCATCGTCCACAACTTCGCCTTTATCTCTTCCTGATTCACCAGCAAAACATTTTTCACGGACGAGCGGGGATGCGCTGGAGGTAAAACTCTATTTGTGAGTTTAGAAAAATCTTTGGAGATTCATCTTGAGATCGAAATAGGAATATCGCCTCTTCAGTCACAAATCACGACGATGAGGCGAGAGAGCCTTAGGCTATCTCGAGAGAGCCTTAGGTTATCTCGAGAGATTTGTTATGCGAGGAAGCTCAGTGGAGTGTATGGCTCATGTATCTCATCCTTTTCTGGGAGAAAAGCGTCTGGATTACTTTTCATTGTAAGGTAACTGGGAAACATGTCCACCATTCCCTCGAGTCTTCGAACTTAGCTGAACAAATACCATTTCCAGCCAGCGATTATTTTCAAGCGTTTGAGTCGAGTCCCTGTTGCTAACATAAAAATTCAGCAGGAAAAAATTCCACTACGAGAACCTTCCACAGCTCTCTCATTTGATGCAACTCAGTTTCCAGTAAATTCGAATTCTTCTTTTTGCGAAAATAAACAAATCGTCGTCCACGAAGGAATCCATTCGGGCCTCAGTCGCTCTATGGTCTAAGTCTGAAACCGAAGTAGGATCAAGGTTCCACCAACATTCACTCTTATAAGAAACATTCAGATGTTCTCAGAACAGACAGAATTTAACTACGATTGTCAGTCGACGATCTCTCGGAGAAGTAGCAAATAATCTTGAATTTCAGATGAGTCTACCTGACGATGGGTTCAGCTCATGAAAAACGTGCATTTTCCTCATTTTATGATCGTCAGTTGAAAACGATGAAACTACTGAAAAGAATCTTTCCCGTTATGAAGTGAACCACTGCACGAAACTTATTATGAAGGGAAACACAAGATATACCAACCTGGCACGGTGTACAAAATTGATAGTACGGCATCCAATGCATGTCCATGTCTCCTCGGCGTGTGTGCGCCAAGAGATAACGGGAAAATTCCTCAAAACTAGGTTTTGCGTCTAAGGTCCCGCTTCGTAAGGCCTGCCTTTCCGACGTGGAGAGCTTCCGATAATCGAGAATCATCTTTTTCCCCATTTTGTCATGGGGACTCCCCTGAAAAGGGTTGAGGATCTTGTCCTGATAGGCGGAGTATAGCCTCTGAAAGGGATCCCGGACGATGAGGAAGACGATGGAACCTCCATCCTCCTCGGTGGCAGCCGCGAGATCCTTCACGGACGGTCTGGGATAAAGACTCCTCGCCAAGGGGAGCATCGTCTTGTCTTTCTTCAGCGTCTCTTCGATATCTTCTTCAGTCACTTCACCGGACAGCAGCAAAAAACTGTACAACATGGAAGATGCGCCGGCCTGCAATGGGAAATATCGCAATTTTGCACGAACGTCATGAATCTTACTTATTTGACCAACTTTTCATTTGGGGGAAAATCAGATAGCCAAGAGGAGTGTGAAAAGTTCGTAAAAGCGAAAATTTCAAGAAATAATATTCCAACTGAGAAGCACCAAGGCTTCATGAATTTGAGCAACATCTTTCGCAACCGATGTATTAGCAATAATTCATCACTCTAAACATATACCACTCCAGTAGGTACTACAGTACACACGTTCAAGAACTACTTAATCTCGGCCTTCAGGTGCATTTGGCACGTGACAAAAATACCATGAGAATCGAGTGAGGATAACGAGGGAGTGGGTAGGAATACAAATCGAACTCGACCTAAACATTATTCTAAAACTTGGAGAATCGCTGGGAAGAATTAAAGACTTGGATGTCGAGTGGATGGAAGGAAAACCAGGCAGCTAAAACTGGTTTCTTCTTCTTCGATCCGTTTTTAAGTTCACGTCAATGCTATACGACTGTGCATCCTGTCTATGGTCTGCTTTCCTCCCGAGATTCGAATCCGCTTTTGCGGCTGTAGGAGATATCCGAGGGTAAAGGGATAAACGGATTTATTTGGTGGATATAAGATAGGGATATCTGGAATCTGAAAATTGTTACTTTTCTACTCGATTCCCCATGACTCCCACACTCTTATTCCTGCCTTGAGCCTGTTCATTTTTTTCATTCAACAAGCATGAAGTTATTTAATCAAGGCACACAAAGCGGCCAACACCGCCTATTCCATCTCCTTATCAATGCCGAACCCCAGGAAGACCTTCAAGGATTCCCACGCTGGGAGCTTCCCCATTGAATGACGGCACGACGACCTCCACCGTCCACCCTCGCCTACTGCCTCGTATATGGATTTACGTTCGTTTCAGGTCGCGAAGGAAAAGTTAAGCGCCGTTGCCAAACGCGCAACTTCGAACAGGAAATTCGCTCGAAGAGTTATGAGCCTTATTCCTTTCATGCTGATTTAACCTGTGCGGTTTTTCTCATTCATAAACAAATTTGTCGTAGCAGTTAATTTTCAGGTACGGATGCGATCTATAACGAGTATTCCACGGAAGACATACCTTAAAAATGGGGCACCAAACAAGGTGGTACTTCTGGTTGATGTAGTACTCCCAGGGGTTGGGTTTCAGGTACTTCTTGGTCCCTTTCTGGTCCAGGCCGAACTCCGAGCACTTCCTTCTCATCTGAAGCGCTCTAGAGCTCATTTCATTGGTAGCATCCTGCGTGGAAATCGACAAAGTCAAATTAAAATCTTAATAATTCTCAATTTAAATCTTCCCTGCCTCTCGCCCTTCTCCCGACATCTCAGGAAATCATCTCAAATGACGAACGATGAAATGATTAAAAGCGGAACTGGAATACGCGATGTCACGGCAACTGTATGTCCACAAGAAGCCAACCGACGGATATCATTCGAAACTCGTAAATTTGATGTTTGCCATGGAGGGAATTATTTTATTATTTTCTTCTCCCTTAAAAAAAAAATGGCGGTGCGCCGAGTCAAAAAAATCAGCAGTCAAAGGGTCCGAGAAAAGAATTCTCTACCATCCCGCATTAAAATTCCGTGCGTAGTCTGTAGATGCATCGGTGAGGCATGATTAGATGCCGACATTCACGGCGGGACAGGAAAACGACGCGGACGAGACGTCACGAGTGACATACCAGAGGAATCGGTTCGGGGATCCGCTGATATGCGCGGGCAGTTGTCCTCTCGGCGGCCTCCTCGTCCTACGAAAATTGAGAGGCACAAATGGTGGGAACATTGTCTCGTTCGAGAGTGTCGTCCGTTTATCGTAATGGCCCACAAAATGAATTTCAATGGCCCACAAAATGAATTTCAATGGCCCACAAAATTAATTTCTCTTCAGCTTCTCAGCGGTCGACGAGGAGCTGTCCAGCCAACGAACTTAACGGCGAAAACTGCAGATTCGCCCCTTCTCCAGAGAGAGCAGGCGAATTGCAGCGAGCGAACGTGTCGGCGAGTTTGTCGACTACGGTTCGCGAACCCGCACAAAGCATCAAAATTTGGACCGAGAACAACCCCATTCGACGATGGATAACTGGATGATTCCCTTACGAGACCTCAACAATTCTGGCCGGTGTACATCAGACCTGAAGCATTTCGCAGAAGCTCTCAGGTGACAAACCCGAATTTAGAACTTATGCAGGTTGTCCGGGGAATAGATTAAACGTAGGGGCCGTCGAATTAGAGCCGCTCAGACCGCGGCCTCGGCTACCTTAGCCTTAATTGCTAGGCCTTTATGCCTAGAGAGACCATAGCCATAGGGTGCGTGCTCGTTTACTTTTAGGATAATTCGTACGTGTGAGTCATAAAAGTGAAAATACATATCTTTAATTTTTGAAGTCATACATACCTTATCGCTTTTCGAGGAGTAGCCTTGGTATGTCAAAGATAAAAACCTTAAATCAACGGCATCAAAGATTCAACCAGCGGAGGCGGTTCATCCGGTCCGCCGTCTGTTCTTGAAATTTCTGCGGAAAATCATGGGTGCGGTCCGTCGACCGATTTCAGTTTGGCACCCCCGCCATAAATCATTCTAAAGTACCAGTACTTTTGATTACTTAGGGAATGCCATCGGAATTTCTATAACCGAATTTTAAAAAATCTGCTTACTGCAATCTCGTGATCGCGAATGACTCTTTGCAACAGTCAGTAGGATAAGTGGTTCTCGCAAGCATAAGATTTAACTTTTGTGGAAAAAACGGACCATAAAGATGTGATCGGAGCCAGAATCAAAGTTAGAAAGGTTAACCCCACTAATTACATCATGATTACACTAATTACAATCTCCACACGACAAACGATAGCATCGATTCCAAAACCTGCTCGCTATACCATCGCGATTACCTTAGGTTGATGTCTCGAGGTGAAATTCACGCCAGGGAAGGCACCTTGCATCCCGGCGTCAACATCCCCAGCCAATAAGGCGACGGAGACGAAAAGAACCGGAATGAGGACGAGTACGAGGAGGAAGGAAGTCTTTGGCCTCCTCAGCCACCATCCTGTGTATGGTCGAAGCCATCTCATCTTCGTTTCCTCTCATTCTCCTCCCTGGAAAAGTGAGAAATCTCGTTATGGTGCCGAGGGAATCCAATTTTTCATCTTGCCATGGGAATTTCTCATTAGTGAATTGATTTCTTCTCCATATTGGATGTTCTCGCGGACCGATCGTGAAAATTTACTGAAATGACTTCACCCCAACCAGGCTAGATGATGTGCTGATGCCGAAATACTTATGCGACTGACTCGCAAAATCACAGTCGATATCTCCAGGTAGTACTAAACCAAAGCCCATAGAATTTAACCCATAATCACATGATCGTGCCATACCACGTATCTCTAGTGACGTTGAATTTGCAACTCATAACGCATCCCGACTATCGAACACAGTCTTTCCCTATAAAATGAGTTTCTTAGAAATTGCCAACGCATCGCGATATATGCATCCCCTCACACATCCGACCCTTATCCATATATCAATAGATTAGGATTAATCCACTTTTGAGACAGATCTTCAGTTGCTCTTCCTTTGAAGTCCACTCGAAGTCCTATTTTCATGGGATCTTGGCGACTTGAGCGTCGCGAAATTATTTCTTCCTCTCCTGCATAAGTACTCCTACTCGTGTACTTCTCACTTATGTCGCAATCCTCGCCTTTGGTATTTCTAATTTTCTCTCATTTCTCATTTTTCAATTTCTCATTTCTCATTTTTCAATTTCTCATTTCTATTTGGTGAACATAGACAAACGGTGCCCATGAAACAGTGATGGGAGGATGGAGGGCCGTGCGTGGTTGGATTCGTCCGCCACGAAGGTTGGTAGGGAAGTGACAACTCTGGTTGCTGACACGGCTCCGCGCCCAAAGCCTGGGTCGTATGCGCATGCGCATTGTGGTCCAGAACCTGAAGGGCTCACAGGTATTCATGCCTTCCCCTCCGGGGCCAAATTTCAAATCCAAAATTTGCAATAAAAATGCCAATTTTTGTGCAAAACGAACTCAACCTGTATCTTGTTCCTATCTACCCGCTTCCCAATTTTCACATTGATCAGGCTAATATTTTCTTAGCTTTCGTCGAACAACCAAAGTGTGAGACACGGACGGACAGGACGGGAGCATAAGTGGCCTCTCAGGAACGGAAGCCCACTAAAAAGGTCAGAGGCCATCTTCATGTATGACAATGGCCCTCGTCATGCCTCCAAAGGGAAGGGTCAGTGACCAGGCCGCAAGCCTGACATAGAAAATTCAATTTAAAAATCTCTGATTCTCATTCTGGTTATCATTAATAAGATGTATCAGACAGGAGACAAATTTTAGCGAGTAAGGATAGCGAGTCGTTGCAAAAGAGGCGGAATAATAATCCCGCCCCGCCGACAACATACCGAAGGCAAGTAGACAGAACGCGGAAGCGAGTCCATCCCTGTCCCGCGAAGCGCAGAATGAAACTGGGGATCCCGCCTTCACCGCCCTTCAGAGGAGGCGAGGTGAAGCCGCACCGAAGGTTGGGAGGCTTTCGAGAGGCTCGATTATCTGGACGAGCCTGATAATACTGTTCCAAGATAAAGGAAGGTGTCTCATCCACTTGGCCTTATCGTCGTAGGTTTCCTCTTAGGGTGTGTTCACATGGCGAGGAATGTCTGTGACGCGTGAGACTCGTGACGCTACTCAGCGGGACAGTAAAGAGAAATCCAATGATGGAATGTGTCACTTCAGGATAAAGGATGAGCATTTCAGGATTGAGGATGAGCATTTCAGGATTGAGAATGAGCATTTCAGGATAAAGGATGAGCATTTCAGGATTGATGATGAGCATTTCAGGATTGAGAATGAGCATTTCAGGATAAAGGATGAGCATTTCAGGATTGAGGATGAGCATTTCAGGATTGAGGAAAGAAGGACACACTCTTCAGAACTCCGATTTCCACACCAGGATAACGATCGTATTCCACACACTTCGCCCAGAGAATTTCATCATCCCCAAAAAGTACTTATAGTACTTTCCCATGGTTTAGGTGCATGATTGCCTCGCGGTCGAGTGTAAATACGAGCTCGTAATCTTTCATATCAAAAAGGTCCCGATAAACACGAATCCTCGTGATTCCACAGATCCAGTTCGCTTAAAAGCTCCAAGCCG